AGTACATTTGTTCAAGATGGATAAACGTCTGGTAATGAGTTGCTAAAAAATTTCTACATTTGAATTTAAACAGTTGCTTTTTAGGTTGACTTCTGCATATTTTGCAATATATATATTTGCATATTCTGTTACTAGGTTTGCAAACTTTACATCATCATAACGAGCTGAAAGATTTTATTGTAATTTTTATTTTTGTTGTAATTTTTTAATTTTCTTGTAGTGCAATATGACACTATTTTATCACTCTTTCAAAACAATATTTACTTTTATCTTGCCACACAGATTTGTACTGCACAATGCATACTGTGTACTGTTACATTTTGCTTGTTTTTTTGTTTTTTTTACAAACTAAGGAACGAGTCAGTAATATTTTTATTAATTCAAATATTACTACATGGTCTTAACTGACACCATATTCAACAGTTTTACTTTAACTCAATGAACCTGGAACAAAATGTAAGCAGCAAAGAGCATCTTCAACCAGCAGCTTGACAGGCAGTGACTGGACTCCACCACAAAGCCTTCACACACATAGCCAGTACATACAGTGTGTATACACGTCCCGATAGTCCATATGCTCATAATCAGGGAGAAGCTTCATAAAGCGTCCCGACTTCACCTGCGGGTTCACACCTGGACAGGTACACAGGTGAGTGCGCCACAGGAAGAGGAGAGAGGCAAAGGAGGACAACAGCTGAACCACAAGGCAGTGTGAGAGTGACACTCACATATGCCAGTGAAAATGAATGTGTACGGGGCCGTGAGAGTGAAAAGTGTTTCGTTTGCAGTTTGTCTGTCACTTCGGAGGATAATATTTATTTAATGGTGCATATCCACACTTTTAAATCAACTGCATTATATTCAAACACCACACTGACTTCTGAGGAATCTTTCTCTAAGAGCACCAGCCGTGCATGTTTTCACCCGTTTCAAATATGTTTGGTTTAAACAAACATCGATGCTAAACTTCCTCTGCAGACAAACCAACCAAACAAAGTGGGTGTAAAGGAACATAAAGTGTCTTTTGTGAGCTGAAGTAAATGTAAAATGCATTGTGAAAATGACAAATGACATGTAATGGGGTGGAGCGACAACATTAACAAACAGATCTGGTTGTCTGAACAATTAACTGTTTGCCGACCAATGGAAGACTAGAGTTCCAGGGTTGTTAAACTAAAACTATTAAAAAGCATTTTTGGTACAGTAAAGCTGATATCAGATAAAACAGAAACATTACATGAAAAAGGAATAGTTCACCCAAAAATGATTTGGAGAAATGTAGTTTTCCATCACTTGCTCACCAGTGGATCCTCTGCAGTGAATGGGTGCCGTCAGAATGAGAGTCCAAACAGCTGATAAAAACATCACAATAATCCACAAGTAATCCACTCCACTCCAGTCCATCAGTTAACATCTGGTGACGTAAAAAGCTGCATGTTTGTAAGAAATAAATGCCTCAAGACTTCAAACCAGCTAAAATACGAGTACTCTATCCATATTATTGATTTCTGCAGTGAAAGAGTCGTCTCATCTGAATCAGGAGAGAAATATGCACAGATCAAGTGCCGTTTACAAGTGAAAACAGTCCAACACAGTTTTAAACAAATATGAGATGGACTGTTTCACTGGAGGAAGCGTTATTGTGGATTATGGACTCATATTTTGGACGGAAGCAATGGTTTAAAGTTAGAAGGTCTTAAAGGTAGGGTAAGCGATTTCTGGTAGCCAATGTTGATATTTGAAATCACCAAAACAAACACGCCCCTACCCCAAAAGGGTCTTGCCCCTATTTGATAGCTCCGGCCGACATATACGTACGCAACCCGGGCAACGATTAGTTCTGTGAAACAAAGCAAAACCAATGTTACACCGTGTCTACGGACGTGAGCGGCGCGGCGCAACAAATCCCGACAGAAAACTGCTGCCGGGTTCTATTTATGATGTGCTGACACACATTTCAAATGGTTTTCAACGGTCGTTTGATCGCGTCCAGTGTAGTCAGACTTTAGCTGTTGTAGACACGGTGTTACTCACCTATTGAGAAGAAACAAAGCAACCTCGGCGTCCGATCGCAGGCCTCCGCTCCTTGAGTTCTCTCCAGCACTGGAAAGCTGATCCAATATTTTACACGGGTCCTACTTCTTGCCTTATCTTTCCGCAGACGTTTTCCTCTTTTGTTTTTTATCTGCCATCTCTATCTTACTGTCGCTCGGCTCGGCTAATGTCTGTCCTGTGCACTGAACGCGCTCTCCTCCACATCACGAGTAGACACGCCCCTTATTGCTGATTGGCTACAAGTTTGTTTTGCTATTCGGCCCGAATCAGTTTTCTAAAGTGTTTTTGAAAAATCACATACCCTGCCTTTAATGAAGGATTTGTTTCTTACAAACATACATTTTTTCAATCCACAAGACGTTAATTGTTGGACTGGAGTCATGTGGATTACTTGTGGATTATTGTGATGTTTTTATCAGCTGTTTGGACTCTCATTCTGACGGCACCCATTCACTCCAGAGGATCCACTGGTGAGCAAGTGATGGAATGCTACAGTTCTCCAAATCTGTTCCCATGAAGAAACAAACTCATATACATCTTGGACAGCTTGAGGGTGAGTAAACTTTCAACAAAGTTTTATTTTGGGGTGAACTATTCTTAAAAAACAACAACTCAGTAATTATTTAAATTCATATGAACTGACAAGGTGACTTCAGTGGTTACAGTAGATTTACTTACGTTTCACATACAGATCTCGGCTCGACATTCCCACGATCTCCATCTTCCGCAGGTCATCTCTCATACCAAATTCTGCAAGAAGAGAAAAACTCATGACAAACTGCACCAGCACAGTACAGTCTAAAGAAAACAACCAACCTGGATCAAGACCATGTCAACTAACTTAACTTGTCTATTCAGTATCTTTCATTTCAGAATAAAACTGAATGCAAATAGCTCCTGTGCAATCCTTTAAGTCGATGATCAACACAATATACAAGTTTTCTGTGTTCTATGTTATTGTACACGTGTTAAAGCCTGTTAAACAGATGGTAGTGTGATAACTGTTAGACCTGAGATAAGACAAACGACACCCTCACAGGTAGATTTTTTGATATATCGTTTTATAGTCAAATCGAATCGAGAATCGAAATCAAAAATCGAAATCGAATCGAATTGAGAGCTTGAAAATCGAAATTGAATCGAATTGGAACATCTGAATCGATACCCAGCCCTACCCACAGGGTCATTTAAATGTCATTAACACATCTGAACATGTTGCCAGGTGTTTCCCACCAAAGGTTTTGGCCAGTCACTTGACTTGTGCACCAGAATTTTCAAATAACGCATTTCATTCCACAGCAACACACTGACAGGCAAACATGAACTTTAATTTACGTTCATTTTTTGCTACCATTGCATTTGAAAACCTTTTGAGCTGCCTATCTGCACAGCCTTTTTAAGGATTTCAAAAGCCTTCCTTTGATGCCTAAAAATGCTGTCTAAGTTTGCAGGTCAATGAGTTTTAAGACACCGTCCATTTCTGAACTAATAGTGCATGATTCAATTACCCTGAGCACTGAAAGTCAGACCACTTTAATAGCTAAATACACATCACAGATCAAGAACAAACAAGGAGATTATGAAAAGAAGAAATCAAATGTAAAACATGCACCAAATGCAGCCTTTGTGTTCATGTTGATGTTAAACACTATATAATTTTCTACAAAAACTTCAATGACTCTGTAAACTTCATGTGATTCAATAAATTATTGCATGTGAGTGTACGCAACTCAATCATAAAGTAAAAAGGGGGGGGACTCTTTCAGTCTGTTTCTCTGTTGAAAAACAAAATGGCTTCCTGTATACAAAAGTTATTATAATATGTAATAAATAGTATATAATTACTCTTGTAAATAATATAATTAAAATAATTTTATTAAAGAAAATAATAATAATAAATCAATAATATATTACATCACCTAGACAGTTTTGACTTAAAGGCTTTAAGCACCACAAAAAAAACAACAAAAAAAAAAACTCAGAAACTATAAACGTTCAAATCATTGTCTGTATGAATTACATATACACACACATACATATATAACGTTATATATGTGTGGGTGTATGTATGTATGTGTGTGTGTGTGTGTGTACTGGTTTATATATCCTGGTGGGGACTTAAAATATATATACACACACACACATATATATATATATATATATATATATATATACACACACACACATTTAATAAACATAAAATAAGACTTGTACAAATTATTTAGAAAAAAACATTTGAGAAAATTAGTATAGAATAACATAGCGCGCGCACACACACACACACACATGTATATATATATATATATAACATGTTATGATCGTGTTTATGAGTCGGTGCCATAATATATCTGTATGGATTGTAAGCAGAAGGCCGCTATCTAATAATACATTATTACCCTCTATACATCTCCTCCTCCAGATTGTTTCCGTGTTCAGGATCTGCCTGAATTTCTTGCACACCAGCGCCAGGTTTGGCAGCGCAGTGCCAGGCAGAGAAGAGAAGATCTCCACTAGGAGCTCCGGCGGCAGATCCAGCAGTGACTGCGGGTGCGGCGGCCCTGCAAAGGCCGAGGCCGAGGCCCCAGAGCCGAGTCCACCGGCTCCGCTAGGCCTGCTGTTATGACAGCTGCTGCTCCGGCTGACGCTGCTGCCCTCAGGCTCGTCTTTCGTTTTGCCCACGACCCTCTCCCCTTCCTCCTCGTCGTCCATGTCCATCTCGGAGTCGCTGTCCTGATCCGCCTGGCTGTGCCTCTGCCGCCGCCTGCACCGCCGCGACTGACCCACTCCACAGAGCCTGGCACACACCGCCATCCGTAGCAGCATTACATCACCACCGCTGCTGTCACCTGCTGCGCTCCTTCTTCTTCTTCTTTTGTGTTTAATGGCGGTTGGCAAACCAGCTTAAGGTGCATTTCCGCCACCTACTGGGATGGAGTGTACGCGCGTTACGTGCCTAGGCGTCTTCTCGTGACGCCATCGCGCAGCACGCTGACGCCGTTCGTCTGGACGTCACTGGTTACCGAAGGTTAGTTTTAAATTTGTTTTTCAATTTAAACGATCATATTTAAGGCTTTAAAATCAACAACAACATCAAAAAAGAAAGAATATTTTACGCCATATTGTTTTTCTAAATACCGCACGATAGCGACATCTTGCTGTCAAATATGAGTAAACATTGGGTGGAAAATAATTATTGTTATTACACATAAAATATATATCAACTGAATATATTTTATTAATGTAAATGTATTTTTTTTCCAACAAAATACCTGATTCTGGCTGAGACAACAGACGATTTCATCTACAGTAAGTTATAAAAGTAAACACGAGTAACGTTATAAACACAAAAACAGGTTTTAACAGTGTAGATATCAGTGATATTTAAAATGCTAAACCATATTCATTGTATTTGTGTCTTATTCGTTCAACGTAAAATAATAAATTGATAACTGATAAGACTGTGATGAAATGTAATAGATTGTAAAATTATTATCCTTTAGGGGGCGCTAGTCGGATAAAAAGCCAAATCAAAAAGCGAGCTATGTTTGTAAATGTTTATTTTTCGTCTCACTGGACACGTTTGTCAGTAATATTTGTTTAGCATCATTTAAAACTTATGAACGTCATCACAAACGGCTGTGATTGGTCGAAAAGTGACGCTACTATAAGCACAAGTCCCTCGAGTAAGTCAGTAACATTAACATGATGATAAAATAGACCGTTTTTGACGACAAAGTCTTAAAATAGTTCTTAATGTTGATCATTTTACAACTTCATTTACTTCCGTTTCCATAGCAACCAGGAACAAACGGAAGAAGCACCTGTGCTGGGCGACATGGTAACTTTATTCACATTTTGCGTTCAAATTATATCTATATTTTAAAATCATGTATTAGAATGGATATTTTGTTCATCTCTGCTGTTCTGTTCATGCTATTTTGTCCAGGCTGAGGTCGAAGACACTTTGAAGAGAATTCAGGGCATTAATGGTGTTATTGGCACAATCGTCGTTAACGCAGAAGGTAAACTAAATTATTTACCATGGCTTTACTGAAGTAATATTAATTGTAACGTACTATAATATAATAGCTCCCAAAACGTTACATTGGATAAGCTAATATAATATAATACTTCCTGCGACTCTAGGAATAAACTGGATATGATAAGATAATATAATTATTACGGATTATAGGCTAATCGTCAGACTATACACAATCATATAATATAGAAAAGGACGTTACAATAATATAATATATTATATTATATTGTGTGTTCATGGTGTGTGTGTGTGTGTGTGTGTGTTCACTACTGTGTGTGTGCACTTGGATGGGTTAAATGCAGAGCACTAATTCCGAGTATGGGTCACCATACTTGGCCACACTTCACTTCATTATAATATAATATAATATTTCCCACAATTCTACATAGGTACAAGCTATTTGTAGATTTACCTCTGGTTACCATTGTGTTACTATAAAAAATATTGAAATAATTATTAAAATGAGTTTTCCAATAATAAGTGTGCCTTTTCACTCATATGGCTTATGCACATATGTCTTGTCTGTCTGCTTTATTTTCAGGCATTCCCATCAAAACCACTCTAGACAACTCAACGACGGTGCAGTATGCAGGACTGCTGCATCAGCTGACTATGAAAGCCCGGAGTACAGTCAGAGACATCGACCCCCAGAACGACCTGACATTTCTGCGTATCAGGTCCAAGAAACACGAGATCATGGTGTCGACAGGTGGGTCCTGTCTCGCTTATCAGGCTGTTAAACGCTTATATAGCTCTCACCCTTTCCCCGTTTTCCTCCAGATAAAGAATACCTGTTGATCGTCATCCAGAACCCAGCTGAATAGTGTCACGATGCTGTGTTTCACACAGACACATGAACCAAATGCTATTCTTTAAAGCATGTACATTTATTCGTATACGAAATCAAACTTTTTGAAATGCATCAAAAGGTTTGATTGTTCAGTGTGATTGATTGCATGTAAAGTCATCAATAAATAAGTGAATTGTTTTTTTTATTGTGTAGTATGGGTCTTTAAGGCCTTTAGTTTTTAAGGTCATTTTTATGAAGTGCAATTCATATAATCTCCACAAGATAGCAGGAGATCAAACAGATGCTTTGCATTGCTGCTCATTTGCTTCTGTGAAAAACTGCTGGTTTAATGGGTTGTGACAACGGTGGTCTGGTTTATTGTGCTCTTACTGTAGTATTAAGATAATTGGGTTTGTATGAATGTCTTCTTCGCATCAACCACACTAAAAACATAAAGCACATTTAGTAGAAATATATGCTGGATAAATATGGTTATTAAATGTGGTCGGTGTGGTGGATTTGCAGGTTTGGCTGGTTCATATGTCACTCAGGAGCTTTGTTTGAGCTTCAGCTGATTTGCGTGTGTGTGTGTGCGTGCGTGTGTGTGTGTGTGTGTGTGTGTTTGCGTGTATGTGCCTGAGGGTCAGTGTTGTCTTTTGAAAAGAACAATGCAGCCAGAACATTTGTGCTCTAATTACTCTAACACAATCATTTCTTTTTCTTTTCTGCCTTAAGCTTTTTCTTCTGGTTGCAGTTCTACTGGTTTTTACCCAAATAAATCTATTAAGGCACTTTCCACGAACAGTGCAGCCTGTAAATTGGCATCCAATAAAGCAATAAAGGCACAAATTCCATGTTCTGTTAAGTGATTATCTAATAAAATAAAGATGAGGCATGAAAAACAGCAAGTTAATAGTGGTCTTGTGTCTTGTCCTTTTCTACTGCATCCAACAATGAAAATCCTAAAATATTGTAGAAAATAATAATAATAATAATTGTAATTATTATTGTTGTTGTTGTTGCTGCTGTTTTTACTTTAAATAATAATATACAAATACTTTATTGTTGTTTTTGTTATAAATAATTAATTTACTAATACTACTACTAATTATTATTATAAATAATAATTATACATTTTTCTGCTACATAATATTATGATGATGATGATAATGATAATTATTATTTTAAATTATTTCCTACTATTACTACTACTACTACTAATAACAACAACAACAACAATAATTATAATAACAATTATTATTATTATTTATTGTTATTACTACTACTACTGGGAATAATAACAATAATAATATCATTAATAACTATTATTCTTACATTATTTTACTTTTTTAGCTTTTTAAATAATAACACCTATTTATTAATTACTATTACTAATCTAATTATTATAATATTATAATAATTGTATAATATTACTATAATTTTTTTTTTAAATTATTTTATTTTTTATTATTTACTAATCTTATTTTAATGGCAAGATATATTTAGTTGTATCTCACATTTGAATGCAACCTTGTTAATATAATTTGGTTTCAGTTTTTACAAAAATTGCATTCAAAAGAGCAACATATCTGTCCTCTTTGCAAAGTCTCTATAGTTTTAGTTATAGAATTTATGTGTTACACAAGTTATGTTTTGAAGACCCAAATTTGGATAGAAAAATAATCAAATAAATTAAAAATAATAATCAGCACATATAATAGTTAGTTTGATTCCATGAGGTTGACAAACAAACAAAAAAGTATAAATAAAAAAAATCAACCAATCAATCTGAAGGTTGAGCACTTCCTGCTATTGTGTTTTATGACCTCTGGCCATTGTAAAAGTTTCAGGCCCTATTTTGCATCCTATTCGTGAAAAGTGCAGTGTTCAGCTTTGAAATATGTATGTGTATCTAGTTCTTGTACCTCAAGCTGCACACCTGAAGCATGAGAGCGGCGCTGCTTGAGTTTCCCACTGCTGGACTGACCTCTGCTCGGCTCCCATCTGCTGTCTGTTTTACATGCCCAGCGCTGCCAATTGGCACTCACAGCACGGGGCAGAGAGCCAGCAGGTGGACCCGGATCTCATGTTCAGAGACCAGCTCCTGTGCACAGCCCCGTCAAACAGTGTGTCCGTGCAAGATAATTAAGCAGAGGATTAATGATGGGCCTAATAACAGCATATTACACATATATCATCACTTAAAAGTGCATGTGGTTGTAGTGAAGAGCTGTTTCTATATGTCTGCCGTGTATCTGGTGTTGGTCAGAACAACAGTGTGCTTTAGTTTCAGTGAGAGAGGAGGAGAGCTTAGAGAAGACTGGGGTTTGGACTTCACTGGATGACAATAAAGTCTGGCTTTTATTCCCATTTGGTGAGACTGGCTGTTCAAAAGTATACCATGCTCTGAAAAGGCATTTGGATTTCAATATAATGTTTTCATCCTCCAAAGCTCAGAGTCCTGTATCTTTATCTGTTCTCCCTCTTCAACCTGCTCCGGTTTCTCCAGCGGGCAGCAATTATCTCATTGATAAGCTCATTTGTACCTAATTTGAACCCTAAAGTGTCTTTCGTTGGTGTAACTTAATGTAGTCAGATTTAGTCATGTTAGGTATGATTAATATGATTGAGTCACATTAATTTAATTTGTTTCTAAAATGAAAATGATAAATTAATTATATTATATGATATATTATATGTATTTTATAAATAAAAACTATTCAGCTTTCATTGGTGTGAGCTAATGTAGTCATATGCAGTAATTGTACATATTTATCATATTATTTTGTATGATTTATGTATGATATTATTTTTAATCTATTTATTACATAAAAATTGTCATAATTTTTTTTATTTTATAAATAAAATTATTTGACCTTTATAGTTACTTTCATTAGTCTAATGTACTGTAGTCAGATTCAGTCATATTAAATATTTATCACCCTATTTAAATTATTTATTAAATAATTTATAAATAAAAAAAGACATTTAATGTTACTTTTATTAGTGTAACTTAATTTAGTCAGATTAAGATCCAAGATAAAACTGATCAAATATATATTATTTTATTTTATAAATAAAATGATTAGACCCCTAAAGTTACTTCTGCTAGTGTATCTTAATTTGATCCGTTTGAGTCATATTAAATATGAATAATGTTTCAGTGAAATAAATTGTTTTTATTTTTATTTTTTATATTATTATATGTTATTTTCTATGATGATGATAATGATTATAATAATTATTATTATTATTATTGATTTCATAAATAAAATTATTTGACCGCATAAACACATTTCATTACACCAAATACACAAAATAATGTTCTTTTTAGCAGCATCATATGACCCCTTTAAAGTAACTTTCATTGGTGTAACTCAATGTAGTGTAGTCAGTGTAGTCAGAGTCAGTCATATTAAATATTAATAATGTTTCAGTCATATTAAATATTTGTATTAGTTGTTTTATATTATTACTTTTAAATTAATACATTAATTAATAACATTACTTATCATTTTTCTTTTATTATTTTGAGATATATTGTTTTATTAAACGTTGTTGTGTAATGCCCTGAATGACGCCTGAAGTCATGTGGTTTGTTGAGGAGAGGTGTGCTGTTACTTTATTAAGTGATCTGACTTATATTGACCTGAGACTTTCGGGTGACCCAGTCAGCAGCAACACCCTAGTAACCACCCAGGACAACCTAGCAACCGCATAGCAACATGCGGCAACCACTCTCAAAATCTTCGGTATGTGGCGCTGAGTTTTGCATGAACCAAAAAAAACAACTGTTTTTAGTATTTAAAAGGATAAAACAATAAGCTAATATGAACAATGACTTGAATATGACCCTTGACCCGTCTGTTGACTGCTGTAGGGCTGTGTGATGAGTTTAGTGCTTCAGCGGCTGATCTGACAGCTGCTCTGAGAACAGCTGATACGCTGCAGCCTGCAGGATGCTCTATATTACATTACACTGCTTGCATACAGTCATAGGATCATACTCATTCCAATCATTTGAACGTTGGTTTTTCATTTTTTTTAAACGCCGTGCCATTCTGGAATCTTTAGAATTAAAATAAAAAAATCTGTTGCCAAACACGCTGCAGCTGAATTTGGACGACAATTCACCTTTTAGTGCAAATCCTGTTCTGTAAACACACAGTTCAGTAATTCAGGAGTCACAACCGCATTCTACAACCAAACTGAGTCAGGAAAAATGCAGGTAGTGACAAACACATTTACAGAAAATGTGCAGGGTTTACAGAAAAAAAAACTGAACAACTAGTTGTTAACGACGTATCAGAGTTGTGTCTCTTCTGTATGTGGTGCATGAAATCATACGGTACGCTTGCACTCATTAGTGTTGCCAGATCTTGCTAGAAAATCAACAACAAATAAGAACAAGCCCATGATAAACTCAAATCCAAATGCGTTATCTTGGAATTAAGCCATGCTCAAATATAGAGACCTGCACTTGTGATAGTGGTTTACATCAAATCGCAGAACATAATGAGTCTTTGGCCGCTGTAATACTTTTGTCAAAAATAACGGATACCAGAGCACGAGAAGCCAGAACATCGCCGTTTCAAGAGTGAGTTCTGTTCCATAATGTAGGGGATTCAATCATGTAATTAAATGCGGTTGTGACTCCTGAAACTCTAAAGTTTGTACGTGACCATTAATGTATATGTCTCATGCGTATAGAGTGTTGCAATAAAGTTGTAGGTGTCTGAGTTCAGATGCACACAGAAATCACACGGGTTATAGAAGTGATCCTCTCATAATGTATTTATGACGGCATTTATTACTGAGAGGAACAAATATTACACCCATAATCTCACCAAATCTGTCAAGGTTGCAGTGTTGTTACTGTTAACTAAACCTAAAACTATTCAAAAAAACGTTTTGTTAATTCAAATGAAATAAAAGAAAATATTAATATCAAATGAAAAACTTAAGCTAAATGAAAATGAGAAATGTTGCCTAAGTACTAAGTACTAAAATTACTGACTGAAATAAAACTAAAACTGACAAAATATACAACTATTTAGAAATATTTTTTAAAAATTCATAATAACTAATAATAATGACAAAAGCACATAACAAAAGTACTAAACCTAAACTCAAATTAAAATATAAATAAAATATTAATACTAATAATAGCATATAAATAAAACTGAAATAACATTGTTTTGTGGTTCAAAATAAAGAAATTATATTTTGCAAATAATAAATAATTATGCAAAAGTAAAAATAATAAATGATTAATTAAACTGATATACTTAAAATGTTTTATTAAGGTTTTACATAATTCGAATGCTTTTAAAATCAATATATAATTATTATAATTGACATATTTGACTAATTACTATTACTAATCAAACCTCTTTAAATGATCTTATATTATATTATTTATTATATAAT